CAATTTATCAGCTCCCGCCTGCAATGCGCAGTTACCTACCTCCCCCGTAACCATCGGTGGACGAAACTGCGGCAGCTACAACCACTGTACGAGGAGTATGCGGTTATTACAGCTGACAATGATGAAGATAGGTAAGCATAGCTGGAATCCATTGTGAATTTCCAGCATCCTATATTAGCCCCGTTGTATTATGACAACGTACGTGACAAAAAAGCCGTACTGATGACCTCTTTTTCAACCGCCGTGTACAAAAAAGAGAACTTCCAGAATTTTTCAAACCAAACGTTATGACAAAACATGCAGTTTCGTAGACAGGCATTCCTAAATAAAATAGCCAAGTGGCGTTTGACTTTCCTCGCAATTTAAGGACGCACTTTCTGTGACTAACTTCCTTAGGTTGCCTAGGAATTGTTGTCTATCGGGACGGCGTCTTTGCTCGGAAACGCATCTTTGTCCTATTGCCCAGAACACTGAAAGCTTTTCATTGGATAGTGATGGTATGGGGCAGCCCAGATTTCTATACCATCGCTACGTTTGCAACTGTTACAGCTATTGCCGTGGTTTTCGCTTAATTCCCTAGAGTCGACCGATTATAAAAAGGCAGACAATGTGGACAAATTTGTCCTCATTGTGTCTACACGTTTCCTGTGTATTGGTTTGCACACATTAGTCTCCACAGTCAGGTTCACCTTCTTCTGCTGAAGAATGTGAAAAAAAGCATGGGGTTAGAACGTGTGTTCAAAATTCAGGTAACAGTGAAGCCGCCAGGTACTGTCCATCTAACCCATAATGAAATACCGGTGCTCCGATAGTCATCGAGACTAGCGAAGTCCATAAAAAAAACTACTCACACGAGTTTGGATGAAACTTAAAGTCCACTTGGATCTCGCTACGATGAGTCCATGGTTTAATATGGATACTTCAAGAGATTTTAGGGAACCTTATTTGAAATCCATAGTGAATTTCTGGCATCCTGTAGCAGCACCGTTGTGTTATGGTAGTATACATGAGAAAAAATAACTCTACTGATAACCTCTTCCCCGATTACCATGTCTGAGAAGGAAAACTTTCAGATTATGTTTAAAATACACGCTATGACAGAACTTCATGAATTTTCGTAGATAGGTATTCCCAAATAAAATGGACTAGGTGCACTTGAGGACGCGCTTTCTTTCCGACTTAACTGGCTTTCTGTGATTAACTCGCATTAGATTGCATAGTAATCGTTGCCCATTGGGACGTCGTCTTTGCTCGGGGACGCACTTTTGTTGCATTTCTCAGAACGCTGAAAGCTCCTTACTCGGTAGTGATGGCATGGAGCAGCCCAGATTTATATGGCATGACTGCTTTTGCAGCTGTCACCCTGATTTATCCAAACCCTACTTCCCAGAGTCGATTGAATGTGCAAAAGTAGACAATGTAGACAACAAATTTGTCTCGATTACGCGTATCCTCTTTATTGGTTCGCAAACATTAGTCTCCACGGTCATGCTCGACAGCTAATTACTCATCTTCCTTTGCTGATTCAAAAATTATTTTACCTGCTCATATAAGATCAAAATAACCGTACCGGCAAGGCTGCATCCGAAACCGATTGTGAAAGTGACTGTTGATGTTCCCGATACGGAACTTTCAGTGACTGTCAAAGGAAGGATTGGGTCCGAAAATCCACAGTACAAGCAAATGTATACAACAAGCCTCAATTGTCCACAAGTCTGTCACTAACGGACACAGTGCAGTGTCAACGTCTGCACACCAAACAACGGTGAGCGGAATGTTGGCTCAGTAGTGTGGGGTCGTCCCTTCCGGCGACAGTCTCGTGATTCTCACTGGCTTCGCGATCACGTGGGTAGGCTCTGCAAACGGGACGCAAACGCGCACATTCACACTTGCTAATACACAAGTGTCGTGGGTACCAATGAGCAAAACAAGTACGTAGGCGGAGTAAGCAAACAAATGGGGGAATTGTCGGAGGTCAGTAATGACCGTCTTATGTTCACCTCGTGAACTACTGAAGCAACCTCTATTCGATACCTTTTTACCATACTGTAAGCTTACCTCGTCTCTGGAATGTAAATTAAACTCGATACAGAAACCTTTAGGTGGTTGAACGTCTTTTATCCATCATTTCAAAGTTTTTAAATTCTCGTAACGTGACCTAATGTCAGCTATCATCCAAATTGACAATCAATTAATTTGTAGGATCGGAAGTCGTATAACAGGGGCAGATTCGCTTGTTCCCTGGAGCCAAGGTCGGATTTTACCGTGCATACAGTTTATTCTCTCCTCTTTGACGTTTTCATCTGTTTTGAAGAGGTGATCAATACTTTTATGGAAGCGATGAGCAAGGAAAAATTCCGCTCAAAAGAGGACATTTTCAGTGATCATTTTCTGAACCTCAGCGTTTTTGTGAAATGACGTAGGCTTGCGTCCAATGCGTGCAAGTGATGGGACTATTCGCTTCAATTATGTCCTATTGATTATTGATTTTCACCGTCGCACCAGGGAGACAAGATCACGTTGGTATGACAGTCATGTGGCCTGTTATCGATCCAACAAGCCCATTCGAGTCGACTGACTGACCGGTCGATTGGGAGATGAAAGCGAACTTGCGGCCCGCTTGATTGCTCATCACAGTTCCCAGTTTGGCGAGCGCTGAGAGACTTGAGGCAAGACCTGTCCAGGTAGCTAAGGCACTGCAGAACTGTCACGACGATGTAGAGCACTGTAGAACAATGGAACGAATATAATGGAAGTAAAAAGTATCGTTATGAAACAATGAAATATCGCCCATTAACCCCCTCGATCCCTCTTGTCGGGCTACCTGTGTCAGTGGTGGTGGTCGCACTCTCTTGTTAGTTAAAACATCTGCTCGTACGGATCTTTGTGAAAGTCTGTTACTACTGGGATCAACTTGGCCCACGACACTTACAACAAGTCTCCCGTATCACTTTCGATTCAGTTTACCAACAAACCGGGCGTCTTAGGTGAACCGTTGACTCACAGATGACTGTGAACAGCACTTCTGCGGGCGTCTTATCTAGCACACGGAAGCAGGTGATCCTACATTTTTTAGGGCTCAAAAGCCTTTCATCAGTGGTGCATGAATATATTTTTTACTAGCAGTGGATTTTCCAGAACTCTTCTCTTGAGTTTGTTCCATCTCAACTGATGACAACACGTGACTAGTTTTAGAACGAGTTTTCTGAACGCAGCCCGCTTGGGTGGATGCGAGCGTCTGTTTTTAGTCGAACAAGCATTTTTGCCTCAAATGGCAAGATTATTCAGTGGGTCTTAAGGTTTGACCCAATGTTTACTATTCACCATTCTCATATGAGAGGAATGGTGACACATTGTGAGGGCTTCGTTTTAGTACCTCTGGACGGTAGCTAGTATGCTTCGGGCTGTATGTCGTCATCATTGTCAGCTGTAATAACCGCGTACTCGTCGTACAGTGGTTGTAGCTGTCGCAGTTTCGTTCACCGATGATTCGGGGAGGTGGGCTAGGTAGATGCGGACGATAAATTCATTCGCATAATCCCATGCCCGATTTTTGCTGTTGCTTTGATTATACCCTCCCCGGGGGTTACTTCACTGTAATCGATTTAGTTGATACATGTAGCGTTACTTTGATTATCCCTGAGATACAGGAGACATCATCAACATCACCATCATTATCAGCTGTAATAACCACGTACTCGTCGTACAGTAGTTGTAGCTGCCGCAGTTTCGTTCACCGATGATTTGGGGAGGGGGGGTAGGTAGCTGCGCATTGCAGGCGGGAGATGATAATTGGTGCATAAATCCAGCACTCTCAGTGGGCTGTCAAGTGGGGGGATTGGGAAAGGAGCAATGCATTGAAGTTAATAGCTTGGATACACGAGCGTCATTGAGGGCGCGATTGGGCCATGTCTGACAATGTCTCTAGCCACTGATGTGGCCCGTTTCGGGGATCCCCATCCAGGAAGACGGCGCAGTTGAGTTTAGTGGTAATGGCTTTTATACTTCGCTGCCAAGTCATTGTTTGATAGTTTATATATATATATATATATATATATATATATTGGAATGAGGCTTTGAAAAGAAGTAGCACAGTGCTGCCTCTCTGGTGCAAAAACCCAGTTGAATTCTCCATTAGTGATGTGGTCGACTAGCCGGACGCTCGCAATGCACAGCTTCACGGTTCTTTCCAAAAGCTACTCGGTACAACAAGGGTCGTTATTTCAGTGAAAATCGTTTCTTCTATTCTGTTTGTTCTTTCCCAGGTGAGTAGAACCTTTCAGTAGACTTATCCTGTATTAGACTGCAAAACTCTGATGTTGCTAGGCTATGAGCTCTGCGAAATGGAAGTAAAATCCAAAATTGTGAACTACTGAGATGTTTATCCACCATCTTTGAAATTTTTTTAGCTCTGCGAAATGGAGGTAAAATCCTAAATTGTGAACTATTGAGATGTTTATCCATCATCTTTGAATTTTTTTTCACATTTCGCACGTGAATGGTGAGTGTACTCCTCAGACAACACTACGGTATCCAAATTTTCTACTCGTTAATGTGATACCCCGCGGCCAAACACAGGCACTGAGTTCCGGCTATTACTGCTGCCTGTGAGCTTCCGATTTTGAGGCGTAGTGTCGCTCAAAACAGAAAGGAAAGTCGTTCCTTCTCTCGGCAGAATTTGAACATAAGGCAATTATTAATAATTTAAGCCGTTTCATGGAAATCACTCGTTCAGTTTGATTTTACAATTCACCAGTCTAGTGCCATCGAAAAGTTACCAAGTCGATACCGGTTGAGAAATGTCACTCAGTACGCGTTGTTTATGTGAGATCTAAATATCAACCATAAAATGTACACGTATCGACTATCATTCTGCTTGAGTTGCCTGTAGCGACTTGGGTTTTTTTGTCGTTCTCATCGGTTTCCAACAGTCTCAGAACTGTTCATTGATGTTCGTTACCGATGCTAACGAAAGCGTAACCGTCTTTCTTCGTTTTCAGTCGGCTACCGGATTCATACACTCCTGCCTGTGATCACAATTAGATACACTCTTGTTGGTCTATTTCTTCTGCCCAGTTTACTCTATTCATTCCATACCATCGTTTATTCAGGTTCAGGGGATTTCGCCACTTCCCTTCGTGCAATGCATTCCTACATATATATATATATATATATATATATATATATATAT